TTCTGTTGTGCATAGGGTCACTATGAGTCAGTACTGATTCGATGTCACCTAACAACAACAACAAAATCAGTAGTCTTCTCACTGTACCAACCATGACTGTTCCCAAATTCTATCATTTTGTCATTTTATTAAACTAAAATTATATGAACTTCATCATTTCTCATAAATTTATTCATTCCTATCCTAAATAAATCTATAGTCTAGTAGGGAAGACATACATGTAGCAAAAAAATGACAATTCAGTGAGACCAGCCCTATCATAGAATCAGCTTCATTTGTGGAAAAGAGTTACCAGGAGCCCTACAACCTGAATGAGGTTACCTTCCCTTTCATGAACTAAGATAAGTATTTCTCTGGAATAAACCAGCTGCTGGGAACTACAGATATAAAGCCTTAGGTCCTATTGAGATTCCAACAGGGAGAATTGATGTGATGTTTCCTCCTATGTGGCCCAAACAAGAAGACAGCATTAGAGTCCAAGGATGAGGACCAAAAATCTTCAGATCTTGGAGAAGTGTTTGGTGATCATAGACCTGCGGACCTACTTAATCAACAGTTGTCCTGTTTGTACATAGAAGGTTTTCTTAATTCACAATAAGCTTAGGAAGGCATTAACAAGCTAATGAGTCTTCGTCTTTGAATCAGAGAGAGTATAAAGACATTAGATTTCTTCAGGTGCCTCTGCATAAACCTGCCCACTTTTGCAAGCTTCCAAGCTGAAAGAACAGTTGGAATGCAAGAGAAGAACAATCAGACTATTTTTGGTATATTCTGCTGCAACATTAGGTTCATCTAGAAAGATAGTCGAAATACACGTGCTTCTACTGGGAGAATAGAGCTTCAACCTAAGGATCCTGTTGTTAGGCAAAATATCCATTTGTCAGAATTTTAAAAAAGAAAACCAAGGTGTTTGCGGATAATAATAATGTCAAGAGTATCTTTATCAGGAACTCCAACCAAAGAAAATATTTGAAGAAAGACTATTCAAAAAAAAATACAAAACAGAACTAATCGGACTACATAGAAATGACTAGAAATTCAAGATAAAGAAAGATGAGGAGAGAAACCTGATTAGCAATTAACTTTGCTCTCTCTTTTATGCTTTCTTTTTATGTACAAACAAATACAGACACACACAAATTAATTCCAGGTTGGTGTGGTAAGATTGTCTGAGGATAT